AGGTGTTGATAGCCCAGATCTTGTTCTTCCCATTCAGCTGACTCCTCAGGACTTGCCTGACCCTTTGCAGATATTTGGTGGTCAAATTCTCTGGATTATTTGGAAAGATCATTTTATTCATGTGGTCATTTTTTAATAATTTAAATGTTGTTTGACAAACTCAGGACAAGCATTTATTACTCCTTTACACAGACTTTACAGAGTACAGTGGCGTTGTCTTTCCTCGTCATCAATAATCATCAAGAGTTAATGTAATACCAGTGAGGCCTCACCTGACTCCTGTGTGTTTTAGAAAATATTTGAACATTTCAATAATTCCTTTCAGTTACATCCGATGATGTGCTTGATGTTGCTCTATGTGTACCTCTAACATCTTAACCATTTACCAGAGGAGGTCATATCAGAGACGTCTCCTCCAGAAAGCTTCAAACATCACAGATCTGAAATATAGAAAAACAACAGCTGCAGTCAGTGAACTCACCTCAGAGTCTCCAGTTGACAGTTTGGACTCTCCAGTCCAGCACACAGAAGCTTCACTGCTGAATCTTGCAGTTTGTTCAGACTTATGTCCAGCTCTGTCAGATGGGAGGGGTTGGACTTCAGAGCTGAGGCCACGACTTCACAGTCAGTCTCTGAGAGCCCACAACCGATCAGTCTGTGATCAGAGAAAATATGAAAGGTTTCAAGAAAGTTACATGAAACTTTTTTGTTTAATTTATGTTTCATAATTTCTGAGATAATCAACCATTGCCACAGATTTTACATAAAAATGCCTTTATTTAAAAGACAAAAACACATATTTAATTAAGGTATTGACATATGAAGCTAAAATTAACAGCAATCATTATATACTGTACATTCAAACTTTGGACCATAACATTTTTTGATGATGATGGAGCAGAAATTATTCTAAAAATGTAATAATTTAGGAGCCACCCAGGTCTTGAAAATGAAAAATAGTGTTACACACTACAGCATCAGATTTTACTGGACATGGGTTTGAGGAATTGTTCAGTGAGCATAAATCCAGAAGCTTTCGGTGAAGTTCCAGTGTGAGGCTGACGCACAGATACATTAATGTGACATCACTTACTGTTTTAGGGAGGACTCACAGCGGCATGTTAGTTCATGCTTTAAAGTCAGTGATGTCCCAGAATTCAAAGAAAAAAGCAGTGCAGTTTTTTAGCAGTTTATGAAAGATCGACAAACTCTAACATAACGTGATCCAAATCATCCATGAAGTGAATTTAATCAGCTACAGTCTGTAGTACCAGTCTGTACCACAAGGTGGAGAAGAGAGTCTAGAGTTTTTTTTAGCTGGGGCAGTTCATGGAGCTCTCTACACTCTCTATGACACCACCTGTGAGACTCAAACAAAATAAGCCAAAAGGTGAAGGCAGCTGCTCTACACCTCTGTAGAAACGCAGTAGCTATGTTACATTCATGTATGATTAAACCAATCAACTCTTCAAACAACCAGAGCAATAAAAACGGGTGATAACCAGAGGAGCTCTGTGCAGTCCTGGTCACAATGACTTATGAGTGTGGATTTATTTTATATTACGGGGCGACTGTGGTTCAGGGTTGTAACTGGAAGGTTGCCGGTTCAATCCCCAGCTCTGTCTGTCCTGATCATTGAGCAAGACACTTTACCCTACCACCTGCTGGTGTTGGCCAGAGGTGCCGATGGCGTGACATGGCAGCCTCGTTTCTATCAGCCTGTCCCAGGGCAGCTGTAGCTGCCTCCACCAGTGTGTGAATGAATGAATAGTGGAATTGTAAAGTGCTTTGAGTCTCTAGAAAAGCGCTATGTAAATGCAATCCATTATTAATATTATTAATATACACGATACACAAACTACACCTTTCTTGTGCGCTGTCAATCTTGCGTACTGCACAATAACATGTAATATTTAGTATC